GGTATGATTAAACTTTAAGCTGGTCATTTTTGGTAGTTGCACTAATAAAAGATTAGGCCAATGGACAATTTTAGTTTAGGTTTAGTGAATTTTGCAGTAGGCCTATGGGTCTTATTAATGTCGTTATATTACATACTACGATGATATCGTGTGCCTGCTATATTTATGATTGTTATATTTATTATGCTCGTCCAATTCAGCCACTTGCATATTTTGCAACGTTGATATTTTCTAAAATTTACTATTAGTTTTCAAATTTAAAAAAAATTACATTACTTAACGCAAAACATTTTCTTTTAGATGACCTGTTATTTGTGGCTAAATTTCCCTCAAATTCAAACTAAGACTGAATCAAGCCAATGGTCCACAGAAACTTGGGGCTACCAATTAATTGTACACAATAATACTTTGTGTAAATTCCAAGGAAACCCACATTGGCACCAACAGGTACATTCCAGTCCTACATTATGGTCGACTTCAGGAAGTAACTAAGGTTATTCACCCAGGTAGTTGATGAGTCTTAAACAGGTAGTTGATGAGTCAATGATCTGTCACTCGTAACTCATTTTATTGCAATCGTATAACAGATTGGATAATACAAAATATTCAGAGCAAGAAATAAAACACAAACAGGCATTGACCATCTTTTTGGAATTTATATAGCTCCTCCCCTTTGATCCCATATAATTATATGAGAGAATGAAATTATTAGATAGAGACAGAGATAGAGAAACTTTTATGTTTACATTACAAAGTAATCAGAAGAATACAGAAAGAACAGACAAGAGAGACTATATAGAGTTCACACACTCTGTAAATTCGATTGATGGTGATTTACAATAAAAGATAAAAAGGAACTGCATAAAGTCTACTGAATATAAGTTGAGTTCTAACCTCTTCTGCAACATAGACCCCAACACGACATTTGGCTGAGGCCTTATAGAGATAGGGCCTATACGCGTGTATTGGCTTACAATTCACACGAATGAAAGCTTGTTGCACCCCATTTTCAACGTTTTACAAATCTATTGTCTGGAAAATATTCTCTGCTTAAATCAATGACGCTATATTTGTCCTTTTCAGACGATAAATTATTATTTTACTAGTTTTAAAGTTTTCATTGCAGTTGTTGCACTGCGTAGCAGTCCCCGATGTTATCTGGAAGGCTCTCTGATTCGACCAACCAATCAGCATCACCAAAAGCTGTCGGTGATTTTTGTTAACGATTTTCCAAATTGTGTGTTGTCCTGTAGTGTTGACATGTTTACGGACGATACCACAATATTTTACGCTGGGAGAACAAGTGAAGAAATTAGTGCAATGTTAAATACTGATCTTAAATAACTGGCTTAAGCAAAATAAAATAACCTTAAATACGAAGAAATGTGAAGTAATGCTAATTGGGTCTCACCAGAAATTAAGATTTGTTAATCAGGTACTTAACATTAAAATTGGAAGTGAGCACATTAAACAAGTCGAATCGTGCAAATATTTAGGGATTATAATTGACAGACACTTAACATGGGAAAAACAAATTGATTTAGTTTGCTCTAAAGTTTCTAAGGGTATTGGTGCCTTAAAAAGTGTTAAATGTTTTGTCCCTAATGATTGTTTAATTACCTTATATAATTCTATCATCTTGCCTCATTTTGAGTATTGTTGCGAAGTTTGGGACAACTGTAGTAATACTTTGGCTGCAAAACTTCAAAGATTTCAAAATAGGGCGGGACGTGTTATCCTCGGTAGCAAATGGGATGAACCAGCTGCAACAGTGTTAGACAGTCTGAGCTGGCAAAGTCTGTATCTCGGTAGATCCAGGAAAATGTCAATTTTTATGTATAAATCTGTCAAACTACTACTTATGCCCTTATATATTCAAAAACTTTTCAAATTTGAAAAACAAAGTGTTTACAGTTTGCGACATTTTGATTGCCTTAAACTCCATATTCCTAAACCTAACAGTAATTTCAAGAAACGTAGCATAGTGTATAGGGGTTCACATCAATGGAATTGTCTCCCATTTGAGATTAGATCATCGCCTTTTCTTTCGATTTTTAAATCAAATTTGTAATGTTATTCTTAAATTTAATTATTATTCTATTATTATTTTTATACTATATATAATTCTATTATACATTATATTATACTTGTCTTTTGGGTATACACGACCATTTGTAAAACAACCTTTCTGTTGAAATGCTATCGTGTCTAAATAAAATAAATGAATGAATGAATGAATGAATGTAGCGATTGTATGGTAGCAAGCTTATTAGTCAGTATAATCCGTCTTCATGGTTATCAAGCCTAGGTTTGCTTGTGTATTTTAAGAGAGACATGAAGGAACTCAAGATTGCCATGTTATAAAGGATTTCTAAGTGATTGATAACATTCCGAAAGATACCATTGCACAATAAAGTCACTCTTGGATCAAAAAAAGAAAAATAACATTATTTAATCATGCAGGTTCTTTATAAATTGTTATTTTTAAACTACAGTACTGTACTTAAGACCTATACTTATTGACATTAGCAGAATGGAAAGTAAAATGTATCATAGTATTATCAAAATATATATTATGTTATAAAAATTATAATTTTTTTTTCAAAACCACTACATAAATTTAACTTCAATGTACCTATATATTCAAATGGACTAATATTACAAAAAAATACAATTATTCTAACATAAGGTTATATAAAAAGAGCACCAACTACTATAAGTATAAAAGTTACATTGATAATTTTTAAATTTCGATTTATTTGCACTAAATGAACCCAGTTAACCTAATGTAAATTCACTAATAATATTATATAGTCCATAAGAAAAGGGCTTGGTTTTATCTTAGTTTTTCTGTTATTTACTGGTAATGAGTTATTGGCAACTGATGATGATTTATTAGCAACTTTTATTATATCTTTTTTGTTATTTTTTAATCAACTTGCATCCTTTTAGTTCATTTTTATCAAAAAGTTTCAGTTCAAGGAATTTATCTGTTTCTTTATTAAGAAAATTCAAGAAGACATCTTTTCGTTGTAACAAAGCCAAATTGGATTAAAATTTTCTATATAATATTATATGTAATATATACTAGTATATAATTAGTACATTTCTGCTGCTCTTCTATAATTTAAATCTAAGATTTGTATTACTCTTTTCTTTCCCTAGCCTATTATTGAGATGTATAAAGATCTTAGACATTTATAATGTATACTTTCAAAGTATAATTATATTCAAATATTATTATTAAATTATACATTATTATCGAGACATCATCATTTTACTTTCAGCATTATTCTCCTATCCAGATATGGAAACATTCATTTTCTGTTGGCAGAGTAGTTTTAAGACAGAGTTGCTACAAGCATCTTCCAAAGTGTATATGCTCCTTATAAATACCTGATCGAATTATGAATTTTCAACTATTTAATATATAGTACTGTTTTTCAGGGGATCTGGTTAAATGAGCTTTCCCTTAACACACACAACTTTATGTTACTGCACATAGTGATACTTATCACCAGTTGAGAGGGATATTTGATAATGCAGTAGTAAAAACATGTAAATTAATTAATTGGGAGATGGGAGAGGAAGGAGATTGAATTAAAGCAATTAATATAGTCATATTTCCATACACTAGAGGGGAATATTGCACAAATTGATCAAAAATGAATCCTTTGTGAAATTTTCACCATATAATGTATGGGTTATGAGTACATTATTTGCTTAATTAATTCTTCAGGAGACCAAAAAGAAAGCCCCAGATTCAAAATACAGAGTAAAGTACATGTAAACATATCAACTTATAAATATGGGATGCATCTGGAATCAAGTAAAACAAATCAGTCTTTGCTGGTAATCCATATTAAATCATTGTTAAAGAATGTTTACCACATGGATATGCAATTTCTTATAAAAAAATAAAAAAAGCATATTTGTTTTGTTATTGTGGGAAATATAGCTAAACTGAAACTGTTTTCAGCTTTGACGGCTCATTAAAAACTCGTGCGCACTCTGAACTCTCATCGAACTTGCCGCAACATGACCAGTGGGCCTTGCCAGGATGACCTTCGTGTCCATGGCCACAACCTTTGAACCCACCTGGAAGGTAAAACAAATCAAAAGGACTGAGATGGAACATGTAAAAGAAAAAAAACATTCAGCATATAACATTGCAATATACAGTATAGAGGGGTAGCTCTACTTGCAAAACTGCACTAAAAAGTTGTCTGTCTGTGAGGGAAATTGTGGGATTGTGTATCAAATGACACACAAAGAACAATTTTTCTTTTAAAAAAGACATTCTGTGCCAAAGGGTTATAATTTATAAAATAAAACAGGTAACGCATCCATGTGCTTGTTTTTTTATTTTATTTAAATGCTCAGTATTTTTATTACAATGTAAAAAGTTTGTTAAATGCATTGTCTTTAAGTGTCCCCGCCCCCAGTACCGCCACTGCCCATAGTGATGAACTTGGCAACACCCCATAATAAATACAGTACTCATGGTTAAACTGGCTCTCTTATACAAAACCTTTTAAACATTATTAAAATACAACATTATCACACATAATTTTAATATTATTATTCGTAAATCAGACAACGTTATTTGTAAATAACATATTGTAAATTTTAATTGACAATAATAAAACACATTTAACAACTTTTACATAAATGACATTAGATACATTAATTTTTTGTAATATGATTCCCCAAAAAATAATGCTTTTCATCATTATTATAATACCTATCATCCAAAAACACATCGTAATACAATTATTATCATGGTTAAATACTATAAGATATTGTATTAATGCCCACAACAAAATTATATCATTTTTATTGCTCTATGATTAGGGAAGGATAAAGTTTACAGTTTACATTTTTAAAACACATGCAAAAAACATGATTATAAAAGTTTTAAAAACAAAATATACAAACATTTCTTAAAATAGGATTTACTTAAACACAACAGACTGCCATAAAAAGAGGATTTGATAGGCAAATTTAGCTACCCTATAATAGTGGTTGCCATCGCTCAAAACAAAATTAAATTTGTCATTAGAGGTCAAATCTGCAAAGGACAGGTAGATTTGAACAATATAATATATAAATATAATTTATATGAGTATTTTGAAACATAACTTTTATGATATTTAATCCATTTACATATATTTAGAAATATGGGAAGAAATCACTTTTTAATCTCACAGTATAAGACTCAAAGTACTGGAATGTAAAATAATACAGTTACTGCATTACCAGATGATATATAATTATTTCCTAATTACATATTAAGACTGCCTGGCAACATATTTAGTTTCCCTAGCAACATAATTGCTTACCTGGCATGGTTCCACCACAGGCGCAAGATACGTCCTTGCGGCCTTCACTTGAACAAAAAGTACAACAATGGAAAATACCAGTATGCTCTCTCCATGCACATCGAACATTCACCATAAAGGGGCTTCCCTATGGCATAATAAAACAAACCATTAAGTTTAGAAATCACATTTAATTGGGCCTTGGAAAACAGTGTCAGGTGTGAATAGGGCCTAAAAATGCCATTAAATCCTTCGACATTAATCACTCACTGATGACCAATTATACAATTACTGTATCATAAAATTATGTCATAAATAAAAGGTAATAAAGAACTTAAGAAAGTATAATACATACTCCAAGTATTGAAATACACGCCATCGTGTTGGGATTCAATTTTCGACATTAATTATGTCATCATCAGGAATGATGATGACAAAGAACTTAGCTATCAAAGAAAATTAAATTTTTACATGCACATCAATGGAACAAACCTGTACCTCTTCTTATTTATGCAACTTAAGGGGGAATTTGTTCCCCTTTAAAGTACAAGTAGCCTATATTAAAGGTTTTGTACAGTTCAACTTTTTCCCGCATAGGGACACATCAAAAAGCATTACCCCAAACCTGCCTTTTGACTACAGTGACACTAAACAATAATAATTATCACAATGATGTGTGATACTGCACCTTGATGTGTTGGCTGTTAATGAAGACACTGATAAAGTACTGGCCTGCCTCCTCAGGTGTGTAGTACACTTTATGTGAGCCATCGTCTTCATCTTCAATATCAACCGTAACATGCTGCCTACAGAAATTTCAAAAACCCTACAATCATTCACTCAAATACTTTTAAAAAATATATTATAAAGCAATAATCATCAACAAAAATTCAATTAAAATTATCATTGAAGCCATCAGTCACATTTTCTCAATTATTAATCAATAAATCAATCAAATAACTATACTGTACAGGGGCGGCTTTTGGGGGGGGGCTTGGCCAGCGCCAGTCCACCCCCACCATTTTGGACAGTGAAAAAAAAATGATCGCCCAAAACGCCTCAGAGGATATTTTCGGGTCTCTAGAAAACAAAAATTTGGCATAGGCATGCAATTTCGAAGCTCAATCAATCAGATTAATGAATCAGCTAAGTGTTACTAGAGCACTCATCGGAGCTAAAAACTCATGAAAGAGTTGGAAATTTAAATTCTTTTAATTATTTACAGTACTTGGAAAAATATTAACAAAACAAAAACACAAATCAGCACACCATGGGATCATACAGTACAAGTCAGGATTAGAATCGATGAAGTAAAAACTACTGTAATCAACAAAGCTATTCAACCAAAATCTTGTATAGCTTTTCTTATCTGCTTGTTTTTTTTTTTTCAGAACAACCTTCATGCAGTATTGTTACTGTCACTTTGGTGCCATTCACAAGAATTTCCCATTGTGGCTTTCTGTTCAAATTGTAAACTTTTACAGTTTGTTTCCCATGATGCATACAATATAGATGGGCTTAAGGTATAGGTTCAGTGTTACTGATGCCTTAAGTTACAATTAATATCTTCTGACAATGTTCTTTGTACAGTATAATACTGTAGTTCCTGACTCTGGTATAAGCCCTCCCCCTTCAATACAAAATTTGGGTAAATTTTTTGGGTTAGGCTTACTTACACCCAGGGAATCCCTTTGTATGTAATCAAAGGAAATTTTGTCAGCACTGTATGCATAATTCAAAGCCAATTTATTTTTTTTTGCTGAGAATATTTACCATAAATGCTTGAATAAGCACCGCTCTTGAATAACCGCCACACCAAACCTGATTTTCTTTTGCTAAGTGCCTAGAGTTATATATATTGCCCTGTATGTAATGAAACACTTTGAGAAACAGGGTTTTATATACAAAACACAAAAACACAAGCATTTCTTTGTAAACATTTATTTACGATGAAGTAGAATCTATCATAGGCCTACTGAACTACAGAAATACGGTAGGTAACATGGGAACTGGCATACAGTAGAAAGCACCACGCCAATTATGGTTTTTTTTTAATGCGTCACTTTAGAATAAGCGCCACACTGAAGCCTCCAAAAATTTTACAAGCGCCGCTGCGTCTATTCAAGCACTTCCGGTATTAAAGTTTGCCAGAGCAAAGGATGGTGTAATATTCGGCAAGTAGGGGGTGGGCTTATAATACCAGGTGATAAGCCTTTCTTTAGAATGATAGGCATAATGTATATTTTGTTATTAGAAGACTATTTATTTAAAGTAATACATCAGTTTATGCTAACCTTGATGGCGGTTTTCAGGGTGGAGGGGCACTATACACTGGTGAGCCTCACAGTAGGAATTCATGGCAAATCAGGAACAAGAATGTTACAATAATATATGGATACTATTACTTTAGTAGCAATCCTCACAGTATGAAGTTCCTGTTTTACAGGATGTATATAATTGGTGGCTGATATTTAGGATGTGCAAATAAAAATGTTATAATGGATGACTTTTAACAGGTACTTTTTTTTATAGTATCGCATAGTAGGCTCAAATCGGTTTGAGCAGTGCATGACTATAAAACAAATGATTTCTTATGGATAATGTTACAAGTCAGATAGGCATGTGTGGTAGGCCTACTAATTTTACATTCTCAAAATTTTTAATAAGCATTGAACTAGGCAGATTTTGGTCATATTAAAGATTGGTAGGCCTACAGTATAAATACTGTGTAAAAATATATAGAATCAACACCGTAATGATTATATTTAATATTTTATTTCATGGGTGTAGACTAGAGGGAAGGGTGTACTGCCATGGCAGCAAATTAGTTCCACTAAAGTGAGCAAAAATACTATGACCACTAATTTTTCATATAGGGATGTAGTTCCACATTCAACCCTCTAGTTCTGCATTCTCAATTTTCGCACCCCCCACCACCAGGATGAAACCACCCTACACCGCTGTATTTATTTCACTTATTCATTCAAATTCTCTTGGCAACGAAAAACAACACATAACAACAAAAGACAACAAAAGACACAGCCAAGGAAGGGAAAGACCAAAACAGGTGAAGTGCAAATCCAAAAACAGCCAATCCCTTTCAATAAACGTGATTAAAGTTTTTTTAACAAGGAAACCCAAAATACTGTATCAAAAAGGCCACTTTATTTCATAAACTTAAGGATAAACTTCAGCCCTGCGGTTACAATTTTTCCAACCAAAAAAGTATGTAGTGACATTGGCAACCTTAGAATTTGGCCTCGCCATGTAATGAAAAAAAAAATTATTGACAACCTAAAGAACCCAATTTTCAAATGTCACTGACAACATAACATTATGGCCTACTTATTATAAGCACTCCTCATTTACCATTCACAGAGGCGGGTCCAGAGAGGTCCACAAGGGAGGACTAAAAAAGGGGTCGATCGAAACACTACCCTAGGGGGTCCGGGGCATGCAGCCGTAAAATTTTTGTTTTCTAGACGTCTGAAAATAACCTCTGAGGCGTTTTGAGCGATCAATTGTTTCTTTTTCTTTTCTTTTTTCTTTCTTTTACACTTTCCATAAGGGGGTGGGGGCGCAGCCGTCCTTGGTCCCTCCATCCCACTAAATCCGCCCCTGATTCCATGTAGATGTTTCTGCAGGAAAACCAGTACACCTCCTAGTCTAGGAGTTACTGCCTAGGAAACACTGAAACAGTAGCATGGTGTTAATGAGTTTAATTTTCCCACCCACTCCCATTCCATTTTTCGTTGGTCTTCTTACCCATTTCTCCTGCCCCTCGGAACAATCTCAATGTTTATATCCTCAGCACCCTGGGGACATTTGTTCCCCTCGTTGTCACAGACAACCACACAGAACTCTGCCTCTTCTTCTTCTCGAGCAATGTACAATCCTGAAATTGAATTTGTAAAAAAAGTGTTATATTAAAATCTTAGTTTGATGTCTCAAATAAAGAATGCTGCTGATGATGCTGATAACAAATGGATGGTATGGATGGTGGTGATAGTGATTATGACGGTGATGATGATAATGATGATGATTACGATGATAATGATGGAAGTTGACGATGATAATGACAATGATGATCATATTTACTGTAAATATTATATAAAAATAAAATACATTTACCATCTCCAGTTGCACTACATTTTAGAGGGTCAATTAATTTGGATTCAATATCTCCAAATAGTTCAAATGAATCAACTTCTCCTGCAGGCAGTTCTGGCAGGAACTTCAAAAATGCATCAGATCTTGGGCCAGCATGTACTTGAATTCGGCTAATGTCCACCATTCTCCTCGCTAATACTGGTTTCACTGATAAGAACTCGTCATTGTTGCCTTCAGCGACAGCTTTCTTTGCAAAAGTACAACTGTGTTGGATATCTTGGAGTGTCTGCTTAACATGCAGCTCCTGTGCCTTTAGTGCTTGCTTTTTCCCTTCACAGACTTTATCAACCTTTTCAATGAGCTGTTGCTTATGCTTCTGCAAAGCTGATACATACGATGCTATGAATTTATTTATTTCTTGTATAACTACTTCCTTATTATTGTCAATATCTCTGTTAAGGTCGTCAATCTTGTCAAGCGTACTCTGCAAGGATGAGATATGAGGCTCGGTCTTGGAGATCAGTTTTACCAACAGAGTCCTATTCTCATCCACGATCTCATCATTGAACTTGATCGCATGGTCACGATGCTCCACAATGCAGCAATCGCGACAGATTGTTTTATCGCAGGTCTCACAAAACAACCGCTGTTCTTCTCGCTCGTGAGATTGGCACTTTAGAGGACTCCATAATCCATCAACACATTCTTTCTTCACATCATTTAAGCTCATAACTTTGTGTGATGAGGTTTTGCGTTGTCGGTTGTGAGCCTGAGAACAAAAATTGCATAAATTTACAGTGCAATCTATGCACCTTGTAATTGCATCTGCCTCATCTTCACAGAGGTCGCAAGGAAGGTTCTTTGAATTAGGATTGAGGGCTTCTTGCAGGAGCCCTCTTCTTATCATGAAGTTCACAGGTAGTTCATAAACGCCACGCTTTGGCAGATCAACTTCAGTCTCGCAAGTTGGACACATCACCGTCACCACGGTGTTAACTATACTTGAGAGACTGCTCATCGAAGCAGACAGACTTGGATTCCTATCATCACTACTAATGATGAATGGCTCGAAGGAACGGATACACTCGGCACAGAAACTGTGCAGACACGGCAGTATTCTGGGATCAGTAAAACGCTTCTGACAAGCCTTGCAATTCAATTCGATCATGATAGAGCTATCATCCACATCCAAAGCCTCACAATTTTGTTCTGTATTCTTCTTCTGATCCTGTATTTCACCATCAATAATAATCTGATCTGACATTTTCAAACAAAGCTCGCGAGATGAGGATACGATATTATAGACCTATTGTACAGCATTAAACGATGTTTTTATACCTCCATACTAAAGGCAGTACTATCTGAAAAGCTCCATTCATACAGCATTTGTCAATCACTGAGTGGGTCACTTCTTTCTTTTGCCAGGCTGGCTGGCTGGCTGGCCGGTTGTCTGGCTGGCCTAGCCTATATAGACTACCGCACCGTCAGCGAAGCTGGCCTGTCATTCACGGTTGACGAGGTAACACACGCTGTGGTACAGTAAATAGAAATACACAGTAAATCGACAACTACTTTATAATAACATACATGAACGCCCATGAAGTTTAGTTAGTCCGTTTTGTAGTCAGGGCCTTTGGTAGCTTTATAAATTCAGTTTAATAACTTTCGAAGTTACGGCTGCTGCAGAAGTGGTGGTACACCCACTGAGGTCTTTATAGAAGTATTGTTTTTATTTCCCCACCTTAAAAATAAGAGGGCGCCCTTTAAGTTACAAGCACTCTTTTCGAACAGTGCGGGTAGCGGTACTTTTATATCATAATCACAATACAGTAACAATACTGTACCTTTTTTAATTGTTCAACACCGATTTAAAGTTTGTGTTTTCATAAGTAGGTTTGTATTTAGTTTGCTTAATAAATGAAACCCAAACCTAGTCCTATAAAAGTACGTCAGTAGCTGAAGTGACTCAGACAATACAAATATAATATACATCATCAATAAGTCCAGGCCAGTAGCCATGGTCATTTCAAGGGTGGGGGAGGGGGGTTCTCTGGGCGTGGGGTCCAGGGGCCTGCCTAAGGGCCCCGAAGCTAGAGCAGTTTAGAAAATGTTTTTTGAGAATTGGCATGTTTAAATCACACAGAAAGATATAAAAAAAACCTCTTCGCATACTAATCAGTACTCAACACATTTATTATTATAAAACAAAAAAAAGCTATTCTTCTTCTTCTACCTCTTCCTATTATTCTTCTTCTTCTACTACTTCTTCTTAACTCTCATTTTGTACACTAAAAATAATAGTAGGCCTACTATTTTACTACGTGGCTAAAAAAAAGCACAAAATTACTGACAGGGCCATCGTTCAATTAAGTCAGAGCCCAAAATATAGCATCATATTCAATACGTCATCTTTCATCATGAGAACCTAAACTTTAATTTCAATTATTTGTTATATACTAGGCCAAATTCGAAATTATTATTTTAAGACTTTATAAGATAATACATCATACTGATTAATAATCCTTATACTGATTAATAAGGATACCTTCCTGAAGACATTAGGTTGTCATTAGAAGTTATTTAGTATAACTTTATTCGGAAAATTAATCCCAAAATCGAGTTGCCGTTCCCGGCGTTGGCAGTGACGTCGTATGATTTGTGTGCGATTTTTACCACTTAACCCCTAAGTAAAAAATAGTTGAGCCATGTAGTACCTTGCAAATCAATCCAGAAACCTGGTAGTTTGTTGATTTTTTATTGGTAGGTCCTCGCTGCCAAAAATAGTTTCTTGGCAGTTACGTCCCCGGTGACATCACGAGGGCATGGTGAAGGCTGGTTACGATTTGGTGGCACATCGATTGAGTATTTTCATTCGTCTGGCCATACCGGGAGCCCAGAAGATTTAATCATGTGAAGAGAGACAAAAGGTTTGATGGTCTGGTCATGGTAGTATAGGGCCAAGACACAATATTCAGTATTGCTGCCGGGGCGCATCCTGTACAAGCGGGCTGGGGGTAATGAAATAGGGGCTTAAATAATGCATTTAATTATGTGGAGAGAGACATGGATAAAAATAATTGGATATTACTCCCAGGTAGATACTTGCAATAATGTCACATGTGACAGCAACTTTTACCTGTACGTGACCTTAAACAGTAACATTAAAGGCCACGCCCAAATACATTTAATCATGTGAAGAGAGACACGGATGAATTTTTTTTATTGGAACTATTATACATTGGAGGTAACAAAAATACCAATGACAGCAACTTTATCCTGTACATAAG